CAGTGTTAGCAACACAGCACCCACCAACAGGGACCTGCTGGGACCTCCTGCTCAGGCCTCAGGGTCCCCCCTGGGGCTCCTGCCTGCCCTGCAACACCCACAGCCCTGAACACAGCACAACATCCTGAGGCTTTAAGACAGGCCCTGCAACGAGTGGTGATGCACTTGACCACCTATTTTGCAATCAGCAGTCAAATCAGAAACCACTTATCAGGAAAGCAGGATCTGGTTCTTTTTTCTGCTTTGCAGGAAAGAAGGAAGCCCAGATATTCACAGGAACATTCTCATCTCAAGGCTATTTCCATTTTTACATTGAATAGTTTTTGAACTATTTAAGAGAAATAGGAACCCAGGTTTCTTTGCCTTCAGGTGAGCACTCTAATCACTTAGCTAAAAGTTTTGTTCATGTTTCCTTGAATTGTTTTCTTAACAAGGGCAAAGTTAGAACATGATGGCTGGAGAGCAGCCAGACAGCCCCTAGTCTCTCTCACTGGTAGATACACTTAAACTGAATAACAGAGAATTCAATCACTGTGGCTGCATAGGGAACTGAACTCAGATTTTTCACATCTCAGGTGAGTAATATGTCCATGTTTTAAAAGAGAAATTTTTTTTTAAGTTCTTTCATTTTAAAGAATAATTGATGGTACCAGCCCAGCACTCAGTGACATGACCAGGGTCACTGTCAGACTTTCTAGCTGAAAATAACAGGTACTAAAGCAGTCTGGTCTCATTATTTTATTTTATTTTATTTTATTTTATTTTATTTTATTCCCTAGTCTCTCTCACTGGTAGATACACTTAAACTGAATAACAGAGAATTCAATCACTGTGGCTGCATAGGGAACTGAACTCAGATTTTTCACATCTCAGGTGAGTAATATGTCCATGTTTTAAAAGAGAAATTTTTTTTTAAGTTCTTTCATTTTAAAGAATAATTGATGGTACCAGCCCAGCACTCAGTGACATGACCAGGGTCACTGTCAGACTTTCTAGCTGAAAATAACAGGTACTAAAGCAGTCTGGTCTCATTATTTTATTTTATTTTATTTTATTTTATTTTATTTTATTTTATTTTATTTTATTTTATTTTATTTTATTTTATTTTATTTTATTTTATTTTATTTTATTTTATTTTATTTTATTTTATTTTATTTTATTTTATTTTATTTTATTTTATTTTATTTTATTTTATTTATTTTTTTTATGTTTGTTGGTTTTTTTTCCCAGCAAAACTTTTTGTTTACCAAGATTTTCTGCTTTCTTTTTTTTTAGAGAGAAGAAGGAGGTTAAGGACAAGCACCATCCCACCTTACCCTGGGTATTTTTAAGTCATGCTGCATCTTCAGAACTTAGGGAAAAACATCAATTTGGCCTGGCTTTTTATTTCCAGTATTATGGAAGGAAGAACCCAGCTAAGATAAATGAGCTGGAGTCTACCTCATTTATGCATTATACACAACATAGCTGGTTCAAGTTCAGTACACTGCATTTCTAAAAAAACAACTTTGGTAAACAAACATGCTCATAAAAAAACCCCACAAAACTAGGAAGAGAACAGGGTTGACCTGCAAGGCTGATTAGTTCAGCCAGACTTTTACCTGGAAGAATTACACACAAGAATAGACACTTCTTGTATTTAAAACCCAAGGCTGAGTTTAGAGGCTGTAGAATGTTATGCAGAGATTTATACTTCATTACTCAATTTTTGATGAGCAGAAGTCTTTTTGTTGTTGCTGAGCAGAAACTCATTTCTAAAAGCATCACAGTGTGGTCTCAATGATTTTATTCAATACTTCTACACCTCAGCAAATGGAATGAATTCTAATTGTACACATTAGTCACTTCTAAGCATCTGAGGCTGTGTTCTTTCTTTGAATGCACACAGGGATCTCACTGGCTTCAAAGGACATTGTGTGCATGTTTCTGTCTGTAGTGTGGCAAGGCTGATGTTGGCCTGGCCCTAAAATTGATAGGAAGTTTGAATTACTTCAGTCTCCAGGATTGGGCTTTGTATTTGGAATAGGAAAATAGAGGTTAACTTCAAAAGGTACTTTTGTATATCAAGGCATGATTTGAATCTAGTTCTGTCAGTCAGTCAAAAGAGTTCAGCTAACATCATAAACCATGAGAGTGAAGCTGGAACAGTTTATGAATAGCAACTGTCACACAGATTGAATTTCTTCTCTGCTATTCAGTCAAAGGATATTTGTCATTGCTTATAATATTTAGAAAGTCAATTTGGAGTTGAGGTATGGAAAGCCTCACAGATAAAAATATTTTATTAAATACTAACTAGCCTAATAGAAAGAAGCATTGGGGGCTCATTTTATTTAAACATTTAATTTTCATTGGAGTCCTTCGGGGCAGCAGAAATAAGAAATATCATCCATATTATTAAAACCAAGCAGGATTATAAGAGAATGCAGTTACAGAACAACGACTTAATAAAGGATTCCAAAGCATGTATGAAGGAGGAAGGAGCCAAGGAAATAACCCTGTTATAATACAGGCAGGCAAATTTTAGGCTGCCAACAGCTTTACAATTTAAAAAATATGTATAATGGACAATCTCTCTAGTTTTAAAGGGGAAATGCAAGAAAAGTCTTATACTGGAGAAACCATTTTGCTTTTCTCTTTCAGGAGCTTGGAAAACAGCTTGAAAAGATAATAATAATTAGGCAATCAATGTGCACATATATCTGTTTATTATCTATTTCTCGTTAGGTCATATAGGCACAGAGTTAACACATCATTAACAGGGAGTCATGCACTGCCAAGATTATTTCTGGGAAGAACCACTCCTGTGCAGCTGCACTGGTTTCTGGAGATGTATTTTCATGTACAGAAGTTGTGATGTCAGTTTTATTTTCCATTTCTTTGCAGCTAGAGCTAGAGGAGACAGTGGGAATTTCCCTACTAGGCTGACACGATCATCTCCCTTTCACAGATGAGCAATGTAACCACCTGTATGACACCCATGTCAAGCCATAGGCTCAGAAGGGACCAATACTCTGGCAGCTGCAGGTTCAGAGCAGCAGCTATGGGGTGCCAACATCTCTAAAACAGATGTTCTTCATCTGGCACATGTTCAGCCTCTTGTGACCACAGTCGTGTAAATTTAACCTCCTCCTGTAGCCACACGATCACAAGATCAGCTGGAAAAGAAGCTGAAGGAGCAGGTAGTTGGGGTTAAGGTTTGCTGTCAGTTGGAAGCCTCTTATTCATGGGAAACTGGTTTTTCTCTGGGAAAACAAAACAGAACAAAAGAGCAACAAGGAAACAGAACAAAAGAACAAGGAAACAAAACAAAACAAAACAACAACAACAAACCAAACAAAAACATGGAAACAAACAAACAAAAACCAAACAACCCAAACCAACCAAAACAGAGCAAAAAAAAGACCTCATAGAATCACAGAATCATAGGATGGTGAAGGTTGGAAGGGTCTTTAAAGATCACCAGGTTCCAAGCAGGGACACCTCCCACCAGCCCAGGCTGCACAAGGCCTCAACAACTAGATCTGGAATAAAAATGCACTTATTTCAATGAGCCTATTCAGAGCAATATATGACTGAATTATCAAATTTAAGATCAGAGTTGCTTTACCAAACCCTTTCACACACAAGGCCACTGCAAAACGGACCCTGTGCCTGCACTCACTTGGTTAGGCTCACCACAAGGCCAGGCTGTTTTATTTGATTCCCTAACCAAGATAAAAAGTAAAATGAGATGTATGTAAATAGGATGAACTTTTAGAATATGTTCCTGACCCAAACCACAGAAGCATAAATACTCTGCTATGAATAAGCAAATTTACCCTATGTGACTCTGGTCATGTTTGCTTAGAGGGTGTTGTCATTATTGTTGGTTTGGTTTGTTTTTTCAGTCCCTATTCATGCCAAAAAGGTGGCACCTTAGAGCATTTGAGGATGTTCAAAATAATATTGAGAAGGAGATCATCCTGGAAAGACAAGGATTAAGAAATAAGATTGGCTGCTAATTGATCTAACTTTATGCTCTTCAACATGTAACTCTTCAGAAGCTCACAAAGCATTTTGTTGTGATCTTGGGAAAGGCTTCTCTGCAAATCACTGTAGGTAATTTAAGATTAACCTCCCCCACCAAAAAGAAAAAAAGAAAGAAAAAAAAAGCCCATGCATTCAGTTCCCATTTAGTGGAGAGAGACAGACATCTAAATGAAAATCTAGGCCCTCAGCTATTTTTCTTTCATACTCCAGTGCATGAATATGATGTTACTGTCAGGGCCATGAGTGCACTAGCAAGATCCACAAACTGTTCCCTTGCTGCCTGCGTTCAAGATTAGCTCTGATAAGGTGAACCTTGGATCAGATGTCTGGGAGAAAAGCTTAGAGGGGGCTTGGATGGGGCTTCAGCCCCTGCACTGAAGCTCTGGCCCATGCCCAGGCTGGGCTGCCTGTGTTGGGATGTCCTTGGGTGGCTGCTATGACCTTCTGGTAGGGTCTCAGTCCCCCAGCCCTGCTCACCTCCCTTTGCCAGGACACTGGGGGGCTGCCCTTGCTGGTGAGGGCAATTCCCAGCTCCCTACACACTGTCCCCTCCCAGCACCCTGCCCTGCTGCTCCCTGGCAGCTGAAACCTGATGAACCTTCCCCACCTGGGATCCTGTCTATGTAAGAGTCTTTCAAAGACTCTAAAAGGAAGATAATTTCTTCCCATCCCTCCTCAAATTCTGTTCTACTACAGTTCTACTTATGGTTGTATCCCTTGATCAGGAAAAAGAAAATCTAAGTCAGAAGTATTTACAAGTCATACTTCACCTGTCCTTCAGGAGGTGAGTTAAGTCTACACAGACTTAATGACAGGGCCAGGTCCCAGGTTCTCCTCGCAGAAGGTGCCCAGTGCTCAGGATCTCCCAGCACTCTCCCAGACCAGTTGGCACTTAGCCATGCAGTGCATCTGCTGCTGTAGCACTGGCAGGACTCACACTGACCCAGAATATCCCAGATGTGGGCATGATGGCCTTGCTTTGCTATGGGGACAGTATGGATCCATTATATCTAGGTGCCTCTGGGCAGACCAGGTTGGAATCAGAAACAGAGGTGAGTTTTGGGGCACCTGAAATTCAATGTTAACAGAATTGCAATGGACAGGTTGAAACAACCCAGACAAAGTTTGTAATATCCAGGAAAGTTCCCATCTATCCCTTTCTTTTATCTCTGGTTGTTTATTGAAACATGTTCTTAACATTTTCCACACAAACGTTCTCCACTCATTCAAATCAACAGAAGTTTCAGCTCCACTTTTAGCAACAGGGGTCCAAGGCTCCAAAGCTCAGCTCCAGGCAAGATGATAAGAACATTTTAAAAGTAAGGTTTTAAAAATTAGCTGCTGGGTATCTATTTTGTTACATATTTTTAAGAGTTTTCACTGTGTTAAATTAAACATAAATGCAACGTGAGTGCCAAGGATGGAAAAAGGCACAAAAGGAAAAACAGCAATGAAAAAATGTAAGCTCATTCTCTCAGAGTAGACCAGAAGCCAGAAGCAGAGATGATGATGCCACCAGGCTTCTCTTGTACTTACAGAAGGAGTAAAATATGTCTAGGGTTGGGAAGAATGGACTGAGTTTAGGAATATGGCAACTCCTGTGTCCTGCTGCAAGGGGAGATTATCACCCTGGTTAATGAGGCTGAAACTGGTGAATGGGAAGGTGACCAGTGTCACACTGCCCTGTCACTGCACTGAGAGCAGCCAAGCCTGTCCCCACTGCCTCCTAAATAAGCCTTGTCATCAACTAGAAGGCAAACATCTAAAGGAGATGCTGAACATTATAATTCAAATAGCTGAGACAAAACAAGCATCCCCAGTAGTCCCTGACAATACACTCCTGTGGACACAGTGTACTGGTTTGGTACCATTTTATACAGTATGTAAAATATACTCTGCTCTGCTGAGACCCCACCTGGAGAGCTGGGTCCTGCTCTGGGGTCCCCAGCACAGGAGGGACATGGAGCTGTTGGAGAGGGGCCAGAGAAGGGCCATGAAGATGATCCAAGGGCTGGAGCAGCTCTGCTCTGGAGCCAGGCTGGGAGAGTTGGGGTGTTCAGCCTGGAGAAGAGAAGGCTCCAGGGAGACCTTAGAGCACCTTCCAGTGCCTGAAGGGGCTCCAGGAAAGCTGGGGAGGGGCTTGGGACAAGGGCAGGGAGGGAGAGGACAAAGGGGGATGGATGAAAACTGAAAGAGGGGAGATTTTTGTTGAATATTAGGAAGAAATTCTTTGCTGTGAGGGTGGGGAGAGCCTGGCCCAGGCTGCCCAGGGAAGCTGTGGCTGCCCCATCCCTGGCAGTGGTGAAGGGCAGGTTGGATGGGGCTTGGAGCAGCCTGGGCTGGTGGGAGGTGTCTCTGCCCATGCAGGGGGTTGGGACTGGATGATCTTTAAGGTCCCTTCCAACTCAAACCATTCTATTATTCTATGAACAGAAGCCTTCAAACTGAGAGGTTTATTTCAAGCAGTTGATTTACATAATTTCTGATATTCTTCTCTAGTGTCCTTTAACCACAGTTTTATATAATTATGCCTAAAAATTTGTGGGTTGGTTTGTTTGCTGGTTGGTTGGGTCTTTTTTAAGGCAACTTCTTGACATTTTTCATAATTTTGAAATCGAGACTGAAGAGAAACTGAAGGAAAAAAATGTCCTCCTTGAGGGGTGGGGATAGAGCAGTGATGGGCTGGACTGTGCAGGCAGGAGAACTGAAGTGAGAAGATGGGTGTTGGAGGTGTGTTGAATAGAGGTCATGGAGAGGCGTGGATTGTAAGGGGTTGGAAGTGCTCCAGCAAAAGGCAGGACACCCTCATTGAGCAGACTTGAAAAAGCATGGAAGACACAAAGAAAATGGTTAAAATCTGGCTGGAGATATTTCCACTCAGTCAGAAGTGCAGAGCTTCCCTCAGACCCAGGCCCTGCTCCTGCCCCTGCAGTTTGCTGGAGCATTCTGTCTGTCCTCCCCTCCTCTGCATGGAAAAGATGAAATAATGCTTTGTTGGAACTATCTAAAAAGTACTCCACCTAGCCTTGATGATTGGCAGATGTGGGAAGTGCAAACTGTGCCAGTGCCACCTAAAAAGATGCAGACTTTCTATGGGAAAAAGGGAAAGTGTTTAGAAAACAGAAAGTGTTGATGAAGGGAGCCAGGAAACAGCCTTCAGCTTGGGCTTGCTGGAACAATGGGACACTTTAACAGTTACAAAAAAAGAAAATACCAAAATATTTAAACACTGTTTCCCAGCCTTAACTCTGAACCTGCTCTAGTGTTTATTCATAATTTTATGTAAAGTGTTGCAGTTGGTGAAGGTCATGCCATAAAAGAGAGATTCTGACAATCATTAGAAAAGCATCTCCACAATTCCAGAGATTAGTAACATCCATCTCTTAGGTTTAGTCCTGTGAAACTTTCAAATGCATGTATTAGAATATCTTTTATATTCAAGTTTCTAGTTCTACAGACCCTGAATTGCTACATCCTTAACTCATCAGCTGAACTGTGAGTCTCAGGATGTAGCCCCTGGGTTTGGGAGATGGGAAATCTGGGACCACTGACAGGTTAGTGTGACTGGCAAAGAGAGAAGTAACTGCTGTCAGTCCCTGGGTGTCAGAGCACTAAACAAAGCTCTCCCATTTATGATGTGAGGCCTTTGCAATTGTTTATGAAACCATGAGAAAAAATAAAAATAATAAATAAATTTAAAAAAATAATGCTGTTCTAGAAAGAACATATAAATATTTGAATGGTGAAAGAAAAGGGTCACTCAAAGCAAACACTAAGTCTAAGAAGCCCAGTATTTGATGCACATGAACTTTGCTAAACAACTTGTAGCCTGAAAAACTGAAATTCACTATATTTACTGAAGGATGTATGTCTCTCTACCGTGAGAACAGAGAGGTGGCATTATTGTTCTCAGCTGATTAAACCTGAAGGGTGGATAAAGGCCAGCAGTGAAGAGAGATATTAGCCACCAACACTGAAAGGAGAAATGCTTCATGTCTGGGTGACAAACCCATTTCCAGTGTGAAGGAAAGTGGTCAATTTACTTCTAGGTAAAAATGGTGCTTTAATATGGTTCACATGTGAACCAAAGAATGTCATTTGAATTTTTTTGTGATGTGTCTTAAAATAATGAAATTGTCACTTCTCAGAAGTTGGCCTGATTAGAGCACAAGGTGAGGGACTGGGAAGAGGCAGGTTACAGTCCCAGCACTGACACTGCCTCCCAGGGAAATGCTGGTCAGAAGAACCCATCACTCCCCAGTTTCATTTCCATAACGTGCAAAATTAGGTTGGAAAGGTGTGTGTTGATACTAATGACTGAAGATGGCAGGTTTGAGGTGGAACACATTCCAGGAAGGAACGGGCTGCCACTGCCACGCAGGCTCACCTTCCCTTCTAGTCACACCAGAGGACAGTCCACAGCCTGGACTTTCCAGAGGTGGCAAGACAAACCCAGGGAAGTTATCTGACCTGGTGCCAACCAGCCAACATCTCACTGTCCCATCGAGGTGACAGGAGCTGGGCACCTCCTCAGGGCAGCCTGGAACGGAGCAAGAACAGCCCCTGGGAAGCGCCGGTCTCGCCTGCCTAGAGGGGAAACCCAGAGGATCAGGTACAGCCTGAGGTTCCTGCAGCTGGGCAAGGGGCATCCCACCTCCAGCCTGGCAGGACACAGCCCCCTTGGGCACGGGGCACCCTCCAGCTGGGGCCTGAGTGGTTGCTGTTAATGGAAGTGTCTTGTGTATGCGTCTGTGTAGTTATGTACCTGTATGATATGATGGATGGATGGGTGGGTGGGTGGATGGATGGATGGATGGATGGATGGATGGATGGATGGATGGAGGGGTGGATGGGTGGATGGGTGGATGGGTGGATGGATGGATGGGTGGATGGATGGATGGACAGACAGACAGACAGAGAGACAGACAGATAGATAGATGATATAGAGATACAGATATAGATACAGATACAGACATATAGACATAGATATAGATAGATAGATGTACATACAGTTATACAGATATAGATATAAAGATACATATAGATCAGATATAGATAGATATAGATATATAGATATAGATATACAGGTATAGATATAGAAATCGATATATATATAAAGAGATAGATAGATAGATATAAAGAAATAGATATAGGTATAGAAATAGACACAGATATCAATAATCCTCTCTGTTCTCATTCTGTCCAGCACAGGGTGGCTGGGCAGGCTCTCTGACCCCCCCCAGCCCTCGGGACACCCCGCCGGTGTGTCAGAGACCCGGGGCTG